ATTGGCTGACGCTGCTGCTTCGGGCCCTTGCGTGGCTGCAGCTTCCGACGTCACTTGCGAGGACTTCGCGGCGGTTGCCTTCGAGCCGTGGGCGGCCGTGGAGCTCGGCAGCGCTGGTCACGACGTCTTCTTCACCGTCATCGATCCGAACCCTGAGCGCAAGAAGCGCTTGCACGGCCAGGCCGTGGAGACGGCGACGTGCGAGGTCATTGTCAGGGTGCATGCCTTCAGCGGCACGGAGGCAGGCGCGGTGGGGCATGGCGGCCAGGTGGCAAGGTGCCAGAGGGCCCCGGTGTATACACCACGTCGATTGGTCGGCCCAGGAGTTCGGTGCATGGGAGATCCCGCCTCCCACATCCATGGGAGGGGGGGAGGGGGGCGCGTATGCACCGAACTTCGTGGCCGAGCAAACGGCGTGGTGTATACATCGGGGCCCTCCCAAGGTGGAGCCTGAGGCGGTGGTGCGCCACGCCTGCCATGTTCCAGCGCGCCTTCGGCTCGCTGCGCCGCTGCACCGAGTTGAGCGAGAGTTGCGCGTGCAGCCCCTTCGTGCGGCCTGCGCCCAGTGCGCCATCGGGCGTTCTTGCCATTGCGCCCGGGTGCGCGAGGGCCATCGAGCCACCGACGCTGGTGGTGCCAGGGGAGGCAGGAGACGCTGGCGATATGGTCAAATTGCTGGTTGCCAGGGTGCGGGAGCACGGCTTGCCACAGTTGATGGGCGCAATGGACTTCCCGCGGTGGAATCTGGATGAGATGATGCATCTCGTAGACACGGGGCTGGTAGACTGCGAACGCAACGAGTTCGGCGATGCAGCTTACAGGATCCGCCCCGAGAACGTCGTCTTTACATTATCGACCCAGGTGTCCAGAGCTGTATATGACGGCACTTATACGAGGGTGGAACTGAGCGACAAGTGTTTCGGACGCGTGAGCAAGCTCGAGATTTTCTTTAGTTTGTTGGCGTCGGGCTTTCGCCCTGTCGAATCGGCCGCTGCCCCCCTCTGGTGCCAGGTGGCGATCTGGTAGTTTGCGTGCCGAACTTGCATCGGAGCAAGGCGTATCTGCAGGCTTTAGCGTGTCTCGGCGAAATTTGGGGTAAAGGAGTGGAGTCTGCCAGCCACAACGGCACCCACAATTACTACATGTGCTTGCTTCGCCTGAAAAACCCCGCCCCCCTGAATGCCATAGCGGACGTGGCCAGCTCGAGCGACGCGGTTTGGAAGGCGTTGCTCGAGCGAGAATTCCAGGGCGAGGGCGCAGACGTCGTTGCCCTCGAATACGAGCCAGATGCGCCAGATGCGGGCGGCCATCCAGTACATCCCGCGCACCCTGTCGGCGCAGGCGGCGGCGCTGCGGCAGGCGCCGCGCTGGCCGATGTGGTGCCGGCGGCGGCCGTTCCCGCCGCTGCAGCGTTGCCGATTGAGCTCGGGCCCATGGCTTTTTGGTTTGATGTCGGCGGCGAGCCGCTTGCCGTTAGGTTGGACGGTTTCAGCCACCAGAACGGCATTCGCCGCGCGTATGCCCAGTGCAAGTGCGAGGGACACAACAAATGTTTCAAATACACGAACCTTGCGAGATGGCCAAAGCCATGGCACGCAGTTGCATTTGTTTTGAAATACATGCGTGACGGGGTTGGGCAACCCGATAAGGAGAGCCACGTGCTATACGTGCCAGACCCAACAGTTGAACAATTGGAGGCGATGGAGGGCGAAATGCCCCCAGAGATCATGGTTGATGACTTCCCAGTCAAGTTTGCTGATTGAGCTCTCTGCTGGAAGAAAAGACCTGCAGTATCCAGCTCCACCGTTGCCCTGGCCCCCCCCCCATCCGCATCCTTGTCCTCGTGACTCCCCCTCGCACTCCTCATCCTCGTCCTAGTCCTCATCTCCTCCCCTGGTCCCGCATCGCGCCCCCTCTTCCGCGGCGGTTGCTCCCGCTCGCCCGCCGCTGCGCCTTGCGTCGCGCAGATCTTCACGGCGCAGGCTGGACGGGGCCGCCCCGCCCATCTCTGCTGGCAGGGCGGAGCGGGGGGGGGGGGAACGGGAGGGCGGGGCAGGGGTCAGAGGGCACGGGGCGGGGCGAGGGGGCAGAGGGAGGGGGCGGAGCGGGGCGGGGAGGGAATGAGACAACATGTGAGTTGCCGTCCCAGCGAAAGCGAGGACCCCGTCCAGTTGCACCCGCCCGTCGCTCCACAGTCGCTCCACAGTCGCTCCACTGTCGCTCCATTGTCGCTCCACTGTCGCTCCACTGTCGCTCCACTGTCGCTCCATTGTCGCTCCACTGTCGCTCCACTGTCGCTCCACTGTCGCTCCACTGTCGCTCCACTGTCGCTCCACTGTCGCTCCGCCCGTCCCGCCCCCCGTCCCCTCGCACCCCCGCCCCGTCGGCCCTCCCCCGCCCCCGTCGCCTTCCCGCCCCCTTCCCATCCTCCCCCACGCCGTATGTTGAAGCCCATTTTGGGCGGTGACCCCGCGCGGGCATCGACAGGGCGGCGCTGGGGCCCAGCTGGGCGTCTGGGGAAGCGTCGGCGGGGCCGAGGCCGCAGCCCTCTCGGCTCAAGTCTTTTCGAGGGTCTGAGGTATGCAGCTCGTGCGGAGCAACCCCCCGTGGAAGCGTTCGGGCATGAAGTCGCCCAACTACGCTCATGCCATCAGCCTGCCTTTCGCGGGCATCGGGGGGCCCGACCGAGCCATGATGGAGGGCGGCTTCCCAGCGATCTTCGTGAACATCATCGACAAACGACCCGAGTGCAAGCCCGTGCTGGACAGCCTGCACCGCCAGAACATCACGATGGTCGGTCTCATCCATGAGATCCCCAACACCAGTCTGATGACATCGCACGGTTTGATCGCAGGCCCGCCTTGTCCAGACTTCTCTCTCCAGGGCACTGGCGCGGGCCTCGACGGGGCGCACGGCTCCGCGTTCTTGGATCTGCTCGACCTCATCAAGCACCTTGCTCGGCAGGCCGAGGGCCTCCGTCTCAGGTGGGTCGTCCTGGAGAGCGTCTGGTCCATCACCTATACGCACGAGGGAGGCGAGAACAACCTCTTGAGGATCAGACATTGGTGGTTGTCGAACATGCCCGATTGGACGGACTTCAGCGTCATTCGCATGGACGCGCGCGACTCGGGCATGGCGCAGAGGCGCGACAGAGCTTTCCTCATTTCTTTCCAGAAGGATTTCGCCCAGGTGACTGGGACTATTGACTGCCCGCCCGCTGCTATGGATCACGGCCGCCTCGAGGATGTCTTGGAGGACGTCGAGCCGAACCACGTGGAGCGTGGCGTGACTGCCTTGCAGGAGGACAGCATCGTCAACTACCTCGACAAGTTCAAGAACATGGGCAGGGGCAACATCTTCAAGACGCGCTGGTTCGACTCCAAGTACCCCGACTCCGACCTGGCCATCGTCGACGCGAGCCGCCGACCGACGTCGGAGCCCGGTTTCGGGAACAAGGTCCACGTCGGCTACTGCCCCACCCTGACGACGCAGAACCGATTCTTGGTTGTCCTCTCCAGGGCGGACGGTGATCGCAACCCGAAGGTCCCCGACAAGGGGTGGCGTCTCATGACGATGAAGGAGCGGTCGGCCTTGAGCGGAGTCGTGTACGAGTCGGTCGAGGGCTTGCAAACGGAGGCGCAGCTGATCACCAGCTTCGGAAACGCAATCCCCGTCAACATGGCAGGTGACATCATCCAGCTCGTGATGGACAAGTGGGCCGCGTGGGAGCAGTTCCTTCTCCGCAACGGTCGTGACCTGGAGATCGAGCCCAAGTGGACCGAGGACCCTCGCCCGCAGAAGCGCCAGAAGGTCAACAAGCGGCCCGCTGAGGCTGCACCCATCATCAGCGACAGCGATTGATACCAGGCCCGCGCCTGCCGCGCCGTCCCCAGCTGGCGCCAATTTTTTTCGTACATGTGCATACGTTCGCCGAGATGCCAGACGGGCACCGATGGGGGCTGCTCTATAGACGTGCAAATACAAAATGCCCCGCCCCTGCGCGTCCTCGATCTCGCCCCCTCGCCCTCGGTGGCATAAGTCGCAACGCTCTAGTGCCCTCTGCTTCCAGGTGTTTGTCTCGGAGTCGGCCTGGGCACCCCTCTCGGCCCCGTGGGGGCCCCTCTCCCCTGCATCCTCCCTCCTCTGCCCCCTCAGCCCCCGTGGGGAGCCCGAGTTTTCACGCGCGAGCCCTCGGAATGAGCCCTCCTCCTCCTCCTCCTCTTGGAGCCCTCTTTCCTCCTCTTCCTCCTGGAGCCCTCTTGGAGCCCTCTTCCTCCTCCTCTTCCTCCTCCTCTTCCTCCTCCTCCTCTTCCTCTTGGAGCCCTCTTGGAGCCCTCTTCCTCCTCTTGGAGCCCTCCTCTTGGAGCCCCGTGGGGAGCCAGAGTTTTCACGCGCGAGCCCTCTTCCTCCTCCTCCTCCTCCTCCTCCTCTTGGAGCCCTGTTGGAGCACTATTGGGCCCCTGGTTGGCCCATAAGACGGCTCCAAGAGGGCCCCGAAGAGCTCTAGGCAAACAGGCTCTTTGTCTAGAGCTCCCCGGGGCCGTCTGGGAGCCATTTTGGGGCCCTCTTGGGACCGCATTGGGGCCGTCTTGGGGCCCATAAGATGGATCCAAGAGGGCCCCAATAGGCCTCCAAGAGGGCCCCCAGAGGGCCCCAATAAGGCCCCAAGCGGACCCCGAACGACAAGCTTAATGTGACATGTTTTTTGACACCTTACTTGCGTGTTGGGCCCCTTTTGGGCTCCCCCAGGGGGCCCTGTTGGGGCCCTCTTGGGCCTTGTCGGGGCCTTCTTGGACCCTTCCCAAAGCCTTTGGAATGGGCCCCTTGGACCGTGATCCGTCTCGTCGGAGGACAGCAGCCTTTTGTGCTCAGGGTTGGGTGCGGCTGCCCAGCTTGCCCCGCCCACCTTTGGAGCTGCAGGCCGATCTGCGGCTGCAATGGCGACCCCTAGCCCAGTCACCCCCAGCGCGCCTCCGTCGGTGGGTAAAGTGGAATCCGAGATGGTGTGCACCAAATGTAAAAAGCCAGTCACCCTCTCGAATAGCAAGCCCACGGGGCGCAACCCCTTGTACCGCATCGGTAACGACTGTGCCACCAACAAGCGGAACATGGAGAGGAAGGTGGCCAAGCGCGAGTCGACTGACGCGCTCAAGGTTTGGTGGGAGAAGCTGCAGAAAAATCCTGTCGAAGAGGAGGCCTGGTACGTGAAGATGGCCGCGAAGTCCCCGCACAGCACGTTCTCTGACGAGGAGATCATGCAAGTCACTGAGCAGGTCCATGCCAGCGGCCTGGAGGGGCGGGGACGGTTGGAGTGAGAAAGTCCACCCTCGTCCATGAGAACCCCGACTGGTCCGAAAAGCGATGCTTGGAAGTGTGGCAGACGCGGGTTGCGCAGGCCATTCACAAGAGGGTGACCAGGGAGGGCGAGACGTTGATTGCGAAGCCCCGCACGTACATCCTGGACAACGTCGACAGGAACTTCGTTGAGAACCGCGTCCAGAAGCGGACCCTCGTCGAGAACGTCGGCGAAATGTCGACCGCAGCCTCGTCGGGGGATGACGCTTTGCAGCGTTTCCGGAGGCAGGCTGCCGCCTCGATGCCAGTCGACGCCCCCGCTGCGACGCGGATGCCGAGGGAGGCCATGGCCGTTGACGGCGGGCATCTCCGCGATGAGACTGCAGCGGTGGAAGGGGTCATTCAAGTCCGCTGGCTTCCACGCGCACTTGGAGAGGGACATGGTGTTGCGGTCGGTGGCCGACGCCGAGGGGGAGGCCGAAGTGCTCGCCGTGGAGATGGAGAGGGCGGCCGAGAGGAAAAAGAGGACTGCCGAGGCTGCGTCGGTGGCGTCCCCTTCCGCCGATCCGAAGAAAAGCAAGACCATGCTCCACGCGTGGCTCGCCGAGAAGAGTGGCAAGATGGACAGCCTGTTGATCCGCCTGCGGGGCGAGATGGACCTCGAGGCCCCCGCGTTCGACCGCATTATGCCGGAGGATCGCGCCACCGAGGAGGCCGCGTGGAAGAAGCTGAAGGACAGTATGACCGACGCCCTGACGGAGGTCAGCACGAAGGTCTCGAAATGGCAGGAGGAGCACACGGTGGATAAGATTTTGCCCTCTGGGGCAGAAGCGAACATCAAGGAGCTCATCGAGAAGCTCAGCGCAGACTACAAGCTCTACCACTCCAGGGACGACCACTTGAAACCGTTCCAGGAGGCCGTCACGAAAGCGAAGAAGTTCTTGAAGGACGTTGCGAAGGCGCGCAAGGCCTCGGAGGATGCGACGAGAAACAGACGGGCGGCCAATTCCAGGCTCAATGCGGCAGATGACGGCCAGGAGGACGAGGTTTGCCCTTTGTTCGACACGTTCGGGGACGCAGAGGTGGAGGCCTTCAGGAGCGTGAACGTCACCGACGTCCCCGCCGAGTACCCCAAGAAGGCTTACTACGCCCCGCCATCCCAGGATATGTCGAAGGCTGCGGCGGCTCTGAAGGTGAACCCGAACTACAAGACGCTCACCAAGTGGGCGGCCGCCAAGATGAGGAAGGAGGAGTCTATGTCAGTCGTGTGCGCCATCACGACCAAGAAGTTCCTCACCGACATCGAGAGCTCCATGGGCGGCAAGTTCGACTCCAAGTTCACCGCGCTCGACCTTACCTTCCCCAAGGAGCACGACGAGGTTAAGCGCGCGTGCAAGGAGTACCAGATCGTTGCCGCGAACCCTGGCTACCATAACGTCGCGGTCACGACGTTCTGCTTGCCCGAAGTAATGGCCATGGTCACGGGTCGCGCGTGGGTGGCGGGCGCCCCGTGGAACAAGCTCACGGGTGACAACATGACGGTTCGGAAGGATCACATGGCCAACATGACGGCTAACAACTTCAAGGCGTTCGCTGCAGGAGTTGGCGGTTTCTGTGTCCTCGCTAAACCTGGGTCTCTCGTGTGCGTCCCTGCAGGCATGATGGTGTTCACCGCAGTACCTGGAGGTGACGCGGCGTCCTGGCTCAGGTGGGGGGTGCTCGGCAAGGGCGATATCGTGACGGTCGCTGGATCCCTGTCGGAGATGCTCTCGTCGTATCCGTACTTGGGCACCACGGACTACAGCACCCTCGCGTCGCTCACGGCACACGCGGTGTGATCAGGGGCGCCCTCGGTGTGATCAGGGGGGGGCCCTCGGTGTGATCAGTGAGGGGCCATCGCGTTTCGGGCCTGGCGGGCCGTGATTTCTGGCTTCCGGCCTCGGTGGCCGCAGCGGGTGGCGGGGGCGGGGTCTCGCGGCCTAGTGCTGGGGAGATCGACCCTCAGCGAGGGGCGGCACCAGCTGTCAAATCCAGGGAGATTGACAGAATCACAAAGCAGTTGAAGCCAACGTCTTGAGCAAATGATGGCAAACAGAAACAACTTGCCGTCTTGACAAATGCATCTCCTCATGTTTCGAGTGTGCCTCCCATGACGTCGCCTGTGATTCCCCCGCACCTTTTCATCGCCCTCGTCATTCTCCCCCACCTCCCACCTACCACCTCCTCCTCGCCCCCTTCCCCCATCCCCAGCCTCCGAAGGAGGAACTGGAGAAGGGAAAAAAGGTCGAGGGGTGGGCGGGCAACGACATGTCCAGAGTGTTCCACAATTAATGACGATGCGACCGCGCGTTTGCGCAACTCGGCCGAATCGCATCGCATCAGGGCTGAAGCAATTCGGATCCCGAGAGGTGTGCCCCCATTGGAAAACATCCAGCGGCGCCACGGTGCATGGCGATGGGGGGAGGAGGGTGATAATGGGGCAGCGAGGAGACGGACGAGGAGACGGACGTGGAGGGGGAGTGCGGGGGCGGGGAGGAGGACGAGGGAGAGGAGGGAATGGGAAGTAGGAGAGAAACATGAGGAAGGAGGACGGAGAGGAAACGGCGGAGGGAGGAATAACATGAGGACCGAGAGGATGAAGGATGAGGCGGCGCGGTCTTCCTCATTATCTTCCTCCTTCCCTTCCTCCGTTGCCATTTTGGCTCAAGTTGTCAAGGGGAACTGTGGGCGCAGACTCCGTGACATTCTTGAGTGGGCAGCTCTTCTGGAAGAAGCGTACCTGAGTGCAAGCTCAGGCGGACACGCACCTCGGTACGGCGCCCCCCGATGCAAAACTGTTCGCGTGCTCAATTTGCGAATGCGCGCCGCGCCATTCGCAAGCTATCGGACAGGCGCCGTTGAATTTGGCGTATTCTTGTTTTGTGGTTACATCTTGCGTGGCTCGTTGTGCCTTCTTGCCGTCGTGCTCGACTGCTGCAGTGGCCAGTTGCCGCGTTAAGTCGACATGTGTGGCCAATCGTCTGGCAACCCCGCGGCTGCTACCCATCACGGCGTTGGAGGAAAACGCGTTCAGTCGGGGGAAGCGGGCGTTCGACGCGTAGGTGTCCCATTGCCCGCTTGTCTTCGCCATTCGAAACCGTTTCGGGGGTCCGAGCTTCCCCCCCCGCCCCCCGCCCAGAAACCGCTCAGGCCTGCCAGCGGGTGATCGAGTGCGCAGTGCATGTAAGACTACGTTGAATTTTGCCGCGTTGCACGTTGCGGCATTTTGCGGTCTTCCGCACTGGGCCCTCCAGGCACTGACCCCGCTCGAACGCCCATTTTGGGCAGACCGAGAGAATGTGCATATAGCGGTGGGGTGGTCTGGCGACTTCGGCCGTCGAGCTGCCGTTGCAGCCGCCGCCGTTGCTGTTGTTGTTGTCGGCGATGCAGCCCCCCTCGTGCCCCCGCCTCCTTGCCGTTTCGCGCCCCCGCCCCCGTCCACATCATTCGACGTTTTCGGTCCATGTCGGCGTAAACATATTGGATCAGAAGCGCGGATGATGTTGTTTTTTTCGGTTTGCAACCCATGTCGGTTCAACCTCCTCGGGCATGATTCCCCGCGCGCACCTCGGTGCGCGCGTCCCCAGGGGTTCGCCCCCCCCCCCCCCCAAGCTCGGCATCAACACTAGTGGTGCCCTGATGGGCGCCCTAGTGGGGGCCTTAGTGGGCGCCCTAGTGGGGGCCCTAGTGGGCGCCCTCGTGGGTCCCTTAGTGGGCGCCCGCCTCAGTGGTTCCGCTACTGGGCTGAAGCGGGCGCCCTCCTGGAGAAGCCTCGTTGTTGCTTTGTAGGCGTCTGGATGCGAGCTCCGAGCGGCTTCGCCCAAGAGAGCCCGACAGGTTTCAAGACCCACCGACGAGAACCCGACGGAGCCCAAGGGGAAAAGGAACATGAGAGAGGAGAAGCCCGACGTAGCCCGACAGAGCCTGACGAGAGGAGGAGGATGACAAGGAGAGAGAAGGAGGGAGGGAAGATGACACGGGTAGATGAGGGGCCCGACGGATCCCAATCGAGCCCCAAAGAGCCCCCCGAGAGCCTCGCGAGAGCCCCCGGGGGAGCCCGACGAGGGCCCCACGAGAGCCACCCGAGGCCCTGAGCGAACCCCGAGGAACGTCCTGCGAAAGCCCCGCGGGGAACCCCATGAGAGACCCGCAGGAACCCCGCGAGCCCGATGAACGAGCCCTACGTGACCCGTGAGAGCCCAACGAAGCCCCACGAACACCCCGCGAGGCAATGCTCGCCCAAAAGACAGCACTCGAGAGGCAATCGACGTACTTGGACGGTCGAGTAAACGTTGCCACAGTTTGGATGCACTTGTGCATCGCTCTCGGTCTACACCAGCCCATGCACGTATGTTTCTTTGCCCGCCCATCCTCGTATATTCTACATGCCGGCCTATGCTCAATGATGAGACCTATACTGGCCAATGCGCACATGTTACTACAGTGGCCCATGCATCTATTGTGCGCGTCTTTGGCGAAGTCGTTTTTTGTGGCCTAACTTTTGCGCGTGTTGAAGCACGCGCAGGCTCCCTGATCGCCGGTGCAATCTGGGCCGATGGGTCGATGGGCCCTCGGCAGTCGTCTGCAGACAGCGCCCCGTGTCAGAGCTCGCAGGGACGCCGAGGGCGACCGGCATAGCAGAGAAACACTCGCCAGACTTACCACGCGAGCTTCCCGGGGGCGGCACTGGAAGGAGACTTCCCAGCGCCTGCAGGGCGGTGCATGGCCATGTGTGAGCGTTTGGCAGTAGCGGGGATGGTTTCGGCGGGCCCGTCTGCGCTCGCGCGGCCGCCTTTAGGCGCGCGCCCGCGACTGTGACCGCCCGCGGGCGGTCTGTGATCAGCTGCGCGCGCGCGGGCGCGCGTGGAATTATTCGCTGCTGACCCTTTTGGGGAGATGTGACCGCGCGGGGGTGCTTGCCAGTGCTTCCGCGCGCCCGTGAGCACCCATGGTCTGGCATGGCCGCTCGCGGGCGCCCCCCCCAGTAGCTGGCCGCTGGCGAGCGCCCGCGCGCCCCCCCGCGCGCGCGGAATGGCGCCGCTGAGCTGCGAGCCGCGCAATCTGCCCCCAGCGTCAACAGAAGCCGCGGCCCCACATATATATATATATATATATATATATATATATATATATGTGGGAAAACACGTTCCTGCGACGATCATAGACGCTGGGCGGGGGGGGGGGGGGGGGCGGCGGAGGGGCGCGTGCCATCGCGTGAGAACCGGGTCTCCACGGTCGAGCAGCAGTTGCCTGAAATGGCTGAGTTGCATGTTGTGCGAGCCCAGATTGGCCAGCCGGGCAAACCGACTTCGCCTTGCGATTGGGCCCCCTTCGTTGCCGAGATGGCCGAAGTAAGGGGGGCGGCTGGCCACGCGCAGCTGCGACTCACTAAGACCCCCCAAGAAAGAGACGCTGGAAAGGCGCTGTCGGAGGAAGTCCCCACCCCATTCGGAATTAGAGCGCGAAGCACACAACCGACGAGTCCAAGACTCAGAGCATCAACTGGACCAGCGCTCCCAGCGAACTTACGACACCAACGACGAGGTACGACAGAGTGTCGAGCAGGTCCAGAACGATCCCACGACCACCGAAGCAGCCATGAAGGCTCACGCTAGCGACGCCCAGGTCCATTGCCCTTAGCAACCGCCAGGACCCACCGCCGACAGAGCCCCGGCCCTCGCCGATGGCAACATCGCCACAGCACAACTGCGACGCACGTCATCAGGAGCTGCCTCTGCAGCAGCCTCAACACAGACACGTCGCGCATCTCCTGTGCGTGCACTATCGCCGACGCTATCAAGTCCATCACATAATCAATCGCAGTATTCTCATGGTGGCACCGCCCGGATCCAGACAACCAGATGCTGTGCGTATTCTACAATTGCCACGTTTTACTCAGTCACAGCAGTGGCCGCAGACTGCCGCGTAAAAAGTTGGCAGCACCTCCGGGCGCCCTGCCATGGCATGCACATTCCTCTGTGTTGCCGAACAACCTGATACTACATTTGAGGTATTACAAGATAGTGGCGATGTCGAGAGCATCGATTGTAAGCTTGCCGCTGGACTATCGACCGTTCTCAACACTGAGCTCCGTCGTTGCAGCGTGAAGAACCTCCGCGCTCAAGGTCGCGCAGCCGGCCGCGTGTTGAACGGTAGACAGATCTATTTGACGATATTGCAATCCTACAAGGTCGCTGGCGCCGACGACACGACGCGCGACATTGAACGTTTACAACTGATCTGCATGCGGGGTGACGATCTCCAACGGTTTATTGTGGATTGGGGCAATTTATTTTCGGAATGCCGCGACCCACCGGGCACGAATATACTCGAGCCATTGTTCCGACATCAGATCCGCAGACGCCCTTGGACGAAGCAAGACATGCACGACTACGACAAGATGAAGATGGGCGACCCCAATCGCACGTGCGATTGGTTTCGAGAACGCGTTTTGGCCAACGTCGAGATGCACCGTTTCGAGCGTAACCGGTGCAAACTTAAGAACGAGACGACTCGCCCCGAAGTGGCAGCATGCGCAGCATGCAAGGCAGGTCCTTGCAAAACAACGGCGATCGGCGCAAACTGCTACACGCTGGCTCTGGCAACCGTTCCACGCCGCGACCTCGCGGACGCGCATCGAAGACCGACGCGGACGCCCGCGGGTGACGATTTTCCACGGGGTGAGGCGCACAACGGCCGCCCAAAAACGGAGGTGCCAATAATTGTTGTTTCTCTTTCGCAAAACGCGGCACCTTCCTGCGACGAGACCGGCGCGGGTTACCCCATGTTG